CTAGTTAGTGACAACCTGAGAAAAAACTAGTAGCACAGAACAACTATCCATGTAGAAAAAAGACATCTTATCTGAAATAAGGGAAAGAGGACTCTGGAAAGTGATTTGAAGAAAAGAAAAAAAAATTGATTAAAGAAGAGGCTCAAAATATGAAGAAAAAGAATTTCAAAACCAGTACTAACCTGTATTAGAAAGATTAATTGGTTTTCATAAACAAATTGAAACAAAACAAAACACCTTATTTATACTAACAATGCACGCAAAGCTCCACTAAGAGGCATCAAGGGTGGCTTCCTCGGTGGTGTGCTGTACATGAATGTTTAGCAACTGCCTCTGTGGGGGGAAAAGAAAGAAAAAAGTTGGCCTGAATTGTTTGCCAGTTTCCACCATGAAAATAATCCCATTGTGGTCAATTTCAAGAGACCAACATATCTCACTGAGCATGAAGTGAGTAGACTACGGTTGTCTCTCCCAGCCTAGGTGAGCCCAGCTGCTCCTACTTAAGTTGAAGATGCTACTTTTACTTACTAAAAATAGATGCAAACGGTCTAATTGCATCTTTGAAATGTTTGATTTCAAACTAGCTGCTTCTTTTATAACAATTATTCAATCAAAATTTTCACTTTACTTTCAAAGCAGCTCAGTGGTTAAACACATGCGATCTGAAGACAGAGTGAAAGAGTTCAAAACCTGTCTCCGCCCTTCCCAGCTCTGTGGCTGTGGGCATGTTTTTCAAGGTTTTCCTGCATCTGTCCAGTCCTTTTGTGGGTAGAGATGACAATATTGTTGGCATGAAAATTATATTCTTGTTGAAGAAGACGTACTTAGAATAGTGTTTAACATATTGTGGATGCTCAGTGAAGGTTAGCTGTATTTTTCATGTGTTTACCACTGGTTTAGTGACAGTTGAGGGATGACATGACATAGGAAGGGTATGTCGGCATAAAAAATATCCAGACCTGTAATAACTTTTATGAGAGTTTTTGAGCCAAACTGAGGATGTGTGTCAGGTAGCAATATATCAAATGCAGCTTCTTTTATGCATTTGTGATTAAGGAGGGAACTAAGGAAGATGATGTAGGACTGTGAGAAAGCAAGATGGGGATCTGATTACAGGATAGTTAACAGGATTATGTGTTTTCTTGAGTTAATACCTGGTATTACTTTTGTATTTCAAAGGTGTGTTAACCTAGATGCAGAAGAACAATGAACAGGGTTGACTTAAGACCTTTCCTAAGGAAGTTATGGGCCTGAGGCATGACTACCCTGTGAATTTATGATAAGATTATCCTGTGAGGCCACTTTCTGTAGAACCCCCCCCCCTTTTTTTCATCCACAGGTACTATTAAATTGAATGTTGATAAAAGGGAAATTGCACCGTGAAGGGAAGATAAAAAACTTTTAGTCACAGAAATCTATTTTCTTAAGAGGGCTTATGTACTAGTAGACCTTATTATACTTAATATTCAAGAAAAGTCATTGTCCTCTAAGTTTCCCCCCTCTGGAGCATAGATTCAGCACAGTCTGTCTTTTCATGTTCCATTTTGGGAGCTGACAATGGTGTTAGGTATGTCTGTTCTAGGAATTAGTCTCTCCTTCTCTCCTCGGTTTTGATCATGAACCAATGCAACAGAATTGAATTACTCTGGTCATTCTATCACAGGTTTCTCTGCAAATGCCAGCCACTGGTCTTAGAAGATTCTTTCATTATGGACAATATGTACCAACTGAGAATTCTGATTTACAACAAGGAAAGTTAAGCAATGTAGCTGACTCAAAAATACATAAGATGCCTTGTTACCGGTCCCTTAATTAGCTTAGAAACAAGTGGGGAAGACTGATATTTACGCCAATAATAAAATGACATAAACACACAGAGGGAAAGAGGGAAATGATGGATATAGGTTGCCTGGGAAAATAGCCAACTTCTGCAATTCTAAATTGGAAGTTGTGTTTCCTTTGAATATCATCATGAACTTGTTTTAGAACGACTCCTCTGAAACCAAGGATGGTGGTGAGCTTAGGCAGAGTAAATATCATTTTAAAATAATGCATCAATGATATGACCAATGAATTTTAGAAATCCTTGTAGATAGTAAACAGCACTACACCTCGACTGTCTTCTTTCTCCCTTTCCATCACACTCTCTGCTAAAGTTTATGATTATTTTACAGTTTCCTTAGAAAAATTTTCTTTCTCTATGCAACTTTCAGATGCTGATTCATACAAGACATGGCATGTAGTGGGTCCCCCAAAATATTTGTTTGATGAAGGTATTGAGGATGAATCCTTAATTTGTCACATATACTAATTTTGCTAACTGGGAAAATTAGTAATTTTTTTTGGAAAGACTTGAGCCACAAGGAGTTAAAAGCAAAAAGTAGCAGCTAACTTGATGCTTTTTTCAGATTATAACCAGAAGTAAAAGGCAATTTCAATCTTTGAGAAGTTTGTTTGACTGCCTCTACAACACTGGCTTTTGAATTGATTTTGGAAATCACATATCCTAAGGGTGTTTAGGATTAGTAGATTCTCCACATGAGTTTGCTCTCTATTGGGAAAAACTAAATTATTTGACCACAGGGACTTTAGGCCGCAGGTCCCAGTGAAATTGAAGGTGTAATACTTTAAAGTCAGAATCCACACAGAGAGAAGATGGAAGAAAGCTGTCCCATTCTCCTGTTCCCGAGGACAAAGTACAGGTGCACTGGGGTATACAGTACCTGGCATGTAGAAGACCCTATGGAATATTACTTTCTTCCTTCTATGGGCCAGTACGGAAAGACTGAAATAATTAACAAAAGTGAGTTCTGAATAGAATAGAATATTTAAGGGCGGTTAATACTGACATCTCTTCTTATTTGATTTTAATGTTATAACTGAAATTTATGAGGACATAGTTCAGCTAGGTATGCAATTTAAAGTTTTATTGTTAAAGAGCTTACTCTTTATTTTTAAATGTTGTCTAATTAATTTTTAAACAAATAGTGACAAAGTTACTGTGACTAAGAAGGCTTTGTGAAAAAAATAAGAATAAAATGTTGAACTTTCAGAACAAACTCCAAATGGTTCATTGACTTTGTTTCACCATGGAAAAATCACTTCACCTCCCAGTGTCAGTTTACCCATCTGTGAAATGAGAAGGATAATATTTTCTTATGGGGATATTTTCAAATTATTTTGCAAATGCAGTGGATGAAATGGCTACAAGCATCACTGCTCCCCCCTCTCCCCCCCCTCACGCACACTTCTTGAAAGAAGTAGACAGTATACCTACGTACTAGTTGATAGTCAAATTGTCATCTTGGATGAACTATGTGTATTTACTATCAGTTGTGTGCTTTTTGTTATTTAAAGAATCCCCTCACCCCCCAGATTTCTTTATTTATGCATTAGGTCAATACCTGGGAACCCAAGCAAAGTATCTTAAAATCATTCTGAACTTCATATTTATGAGCTGCTAATCCTGTATCAGTGGTAATTATTTCTTTTTTTCTGTTTTTACTTATGTTTTCTCTGATGTGGTTTTTCACTTCATCTCACTTCACAAGATTGATAGCTCTCCATGTTTCCCAGCTAGAGGTCACCTTTGAGCTGAAGAAAGACACATCCCACTCTGGCTCCTGTTGACTTTCAAGTCAACTATCAAATAATTTGTTCCAGACATCTCCTAACCTCAATGTAAAAACTCCACCCTAAGGATTAGAGGGACATGTCCTGGGGAGTTGCCATAGTGACTCTAAGTGGTTGGCATCGAGGAGACAAAGCTGCTGATATCAAATTTTTATACTTGATAAGCTTAATTATATAAAGTGGTCATGAACCTCTGTGCTTGTGTCATTTAGGTCTGGAAAGAAAATTTCCCCTTTAGGCTCTTCTGTATCTTATGGTGCCAATCAACCGGCTTCTTGGTAATAGATTCTTTATGCCAATATCTCCAGTATAACCTCAAGTGGTGCTTGTAGTAATGATAGAATCATTACAAAACTAAAGAAAAAAAGGAAATATATTTCATGGGTGTGATTAAGTCATCATAATGTTCTTAAATTTGTAAATTATCCTTGACTTAATGAACTACCTTGCTCATACAAGAGTGTTTTAAGCTGGCTCAAGAAAATAAATTTTTACCCATGTTGATAATTGTTACCAGACCTGGCAGAGCACATCTTCAGATCCTCTTGTTGACCTAACATTTATGTATTATGTTTCTATGAGCATGAATTTTGTTTTAAATATTGGAAGTGCTATTTTTAAGTAAGGTTATTACATGCATTTTTTAAATAAATAACTAAACTTAGGAAGACAGCAAACTTAATTTCTCATAATATAAAAATTGACAAGGGTTATTTTAAACATTTTTTCTTGATTATAAAAGAAATATGTATTCAAATCATAAAAACTACAAAAAGGAACAAAGAAGAATATTATCTTGATTTCCAAGGTTAGAGTAATCACTTTAAGACTTTGATGGATATCCTACAAAATAAACACTATTTTGAAAACTACTTACTAAATACACATTTTCTATTTCTAAAAACAACTATATATACAAGAAACCCTAGTGAAATAAGATTTTTAAAATACTTGTTTTATCAAAAATTAAATCTAAAGAAAGTTTGATTCATCCAAAATTATTCCAAAGCCTTATCTTCAAAGATGACCAGTTTCAGCACAATTTACTATAACTGATGCAAGGCCAAGAGAAGTTAGTGATACTCATATTACTATTTAAACACAAATGTTTATATGTGCCTAGGAGGAAAAGAAGGTTTTCTGGAACATGTGAGGGAATACAAAGGGGTCTTAATTGTATGTCAAAACTGCTGTCATCTGATTAACTATTTTCAATAACTTTTCTGTCCTTTTGTAATATATAGTTTTGTTGTTGTTTGGTTGGTTTAATTTTTTTTTTATTGAGAAGTTAAATACAATGAAGCTCTTGGGAAATTAATCATTTTATAACTTTCATTTAATCAACATTTTCTTTAATTCCCTTTTAGGCAGCCAAGGGCAGTTTCCACTAACACAGAATGTAACAGTTGTTGAAGGAGGAACTGCAATTTTGACCTGCAGGGTTGATCAAAATGATAACACCTCCCTCCAGTGGTCAAATCCAGCTCAACAGACTCTGTACTTTGATGACAAGAAAGGTGAATACATTTTCTTTTCAATGTTTTAATCATATTCTGAAATGTCCTAATTATAATGAATTTATTTCTGAGATGATTCAAATTATTCCTTTTGATTACCAAACTGCTGCTGCTTGTATTTAAACATGTTAAATATTAAATGCTTTAGTTTGCAAGTCATAAACACTAAAGGTAACCTATGCCAACTTTTTAATAATATAAACAGTTCTAATTCTGTTTCAAAAATAGCTTTATGCTCTCTCTTAACAATCACCTTCTATCCAGATACCATATTCTTTTGTTTATGTAGCTGCATTGCGTATAGATTGATTATTTTTTCCTCACTTCTGGCATTGTGATATGCTATTTTTATTACCTTCACTTTTTTTGGAGGTGTTTGTTGCAGTTTTTTCAAATCAAGTGATCGTTGTTGCTTTCCTAAGAGTGAAGTTCATTAGTTAAAAAAAATTAAGTGAATAAATAAGAAGTCACACAGAGATTTAACAATCTGTTTTTGCTTTTAGTATTAATTGAATACAAGTATTATAAACAAATATCTAATATATATATGTATATATATATATATATATATATATGTATATATGTATATACCAATATATAAGACTATATCAATTTTAAGGAAAACTCTCATTTGCCCAATCATATAAAAAATGTTTTTAAGAATACAGATTTTTAGGGATGTTCATGGATCAATTAAATATATAGTTGCACTATTGAATTTATCAATTTGATTATATGCCCATATTTAAACTAATATAAAACATATTAATTTAGAAAACTTATTTTTCCACCCTTGAATTTAATGAAATAATTTTACTTAGAAGCACTTTTTTGAAAGTGTAGATACTATCAATGACAAATTTGTCCCAAGCAACAACTAGTATAAATTTTTATATCATTACAACATTCTTCGTTGTTTATTCATCCAGCAGGAGTATAATAATTATCTCCATCATGTAGAAACTTATCGTACAGTGTTTTTAAGGAAATCTTTGAGAGACATTTTTACACTGACATCTGAATCTGTGAGGTCAAATCCTCAGGCACAAAAACAAAATCTATACAAACTGTCTTTGCCTCCTCTTTCGTGATTCTATACGTTATCCTGAATAGAACGGCTAACACTAGAATTGATTCAGGGTATTTCAAGCTAATGCATCTTTCCTGTAGAAAATAGAGAACAACTTGTAAAGCAAGATTTGCAAAGGCTTGGAAATTAGGCAGCTGTCTTTTCTGAGGGATAATTATGGTGAGAAAAGCCATTATGTTATATTTGAGATATTTAGTAATAAATTCCTGCATCTTACTGCTATAAAAATATAATGATACGCCTGACTGGATGAATTGCTGAAGTATGTACTTGTTTATTTCATTTCTCCTATTCTAATTGCTAGATAGCTTAGACTTAGGTTGAACAAAGCTAGTGTGTGTGTGTGTGTGTGTGTGTGTGTGTGTTTGTGCCTGTGTTTATGCGTTTGTAAAATAGCAGGTTTCTGTCTTCAATATTGACTTCTTCTAACTCTATTATGGTTCCAATTGTCAGTTGCAACACAATAGCAGAAAGTTTTGAATAAAGAAGCCCTTTCACGAATGGCCACCTAGCATGTCTACACTATCACAATTACTTGGTTCAATTCCTATGCGATGTCTTAGTGGAAGGGATCTTGGACAATGACGCACATCAACGCAAGAGTTTGAAAATGAAAACATTTCTTAAAGATTCCATGTCAGAGTTTACCCAACACTGTCTTGTTCTCTGCATTTAACTGCCGAGCCTCAATCCTAAGGATTATCTTGAACAAATAAACTTGCTATGATGTACCAGAGCAGAAGTGGAGAAGCTAAGCATGGATCAGTGTGATTAGAATGTCCCATATGTGCTGTGCAAGTGACAACTGCTCAGAACAGTAGAAAAAATAGTGGGTTGTCTGTGTCGCTGATTGCACTAACTCCTCTTACAGGTGGCTGCTCCTGTTAAATACTTCATTTGTGGCTCTGTTCTTATTTCTGTCTCCGCTGATGTTGCCAGTTGTTCTTGGGAGCTTTCAAGATAAATTGTATGCAGTATCCTAGTGCTTTAATTGTGTCTCAAATGATTATAAATGCAGCTGAGGTTGAGAAGCTTTGGGTTAAGCAAATCAATTCTCATAAGAGTTCTGTATCCCTAAGCTTAGATTTCTGTGCTGACATAGGTTACTGAGAAGAAAGGAAGGGAGGGAGACTGGGAGGGAGGAAGGAAGGAGAGATGCTGCCCAGAAGAACAGAACAAGTGCTTCTCATTAACATCGCTGCTGCCAGTATGAGATCTAAGAGGCATTCTGAATAGCGTTTCATGCTACCTGGAGACGCAGGCTCTGAGGATCCTAGCTGGGAGGGTTGAACAAAAAACTCAGGATGGCAGACACTGGCCCAATTAGAACTGGAAAAGCCTTTCTTGTTTACTTGGAATTAATAGCCAAAGAAAAGTATGCTGTGAATGGGCTGTTGATGATCAGGTAAATAAGTATTAAGCTGAGCCCTTTCCCTATGAATCTCTTTCACAGAAGTTAAATATGACCACTCACATTGACACCCCACCAAATTAGATGTTCTGCTTGTTGTACCACAATTGCATTTTTAACAATTTCCCTATCTACTGTGGAATCTCTTTACAAGGGAGGGAAATAGGTGTTCGGGGAGAGTTGGCTAAATATTGCAGTATTTCTCTCAGGCAAAATATGGAGGAGGTCAGAGATTTCGGGCTTTTGCTACCTTGAGCACATTTAACATGATCAGTAGCTTTTGCCATTTACAAATGAAGAAATTAAGGATCAAATTTGTCCGGACATTCAGCTAATGCCTGGTAATAACAGGATTTGAATCCAGGTGTGGCCTCTGTGTTAGTTTTAACCAAAATGCCCCTAAGAACAAAGGCATCTGGGCACCAGGTCACTTTACATATAACCCAAGCGGCCTCTGCCATTGTTCTTGGCAGCCACCTTTTAGTTACAGAGCAGCAGTTCCTTTCAAACACTTAAAGGCACACCTAGACTAAGACAGGGAATACAATGTAGTCAGCACACCCAGCGGAGCTCTTGATGATGATGGCATGCTCTGTATTTGTGCAGAATAATTCTGTAGCCAGCAGCCATGTGTAGATATTTAAGTTAATTAAAATGCAATAAAGTTACACATTTAGTTTCTTGATCACACCAGCCACATTTCAAGCACTCAGTAGCAACATGTGGGTAGCGGTTACTATTTTGGAAAACACTCTTCTGGATGCTGATTCACTCTTGAGATGCCATGCAGCCTTGGCTGGTGGAATGCCCGTTTTCTAACTGAGAAAGCCCTAGGTCATCATAAAAACGTGTATCAAATATTCAATAAGTAAAATTTCGCTGTTTAAATTGCACAGCTTTAATGGGAACATTGTAGCACAGGAGACAGGGAGTCATAACTGACTTCTAATTCTGCCTCTGACACCAACTAGCAGAGTAATAAAATGGGCACATTGACACCCCACCAAATTAGATGTTCTGGTGGTTATACCAGAATTGCAAATTTAACAATTTCCCTATCTATTGTGTGTGCACTGAACACCAGAAATAATTAACCTATAAAGTAGATATTTAATTACAATTCCATTTTATTTCTGTATAGTTTCTTTATGAAGCTTTTTCTATAACAACCTGCAAATGTAAATGGAAAATAAAAATCAAGAGGAAAATTTGCAAGTTCTTATGGGTCAGAGGGACTTAGAACATATGTAGCTAAGGCAACATTCACTTTTTATGGCCCTCTTTTCTCTACAAATCTTACTACATCTTTTATAAAATGTAACGAAGCATTTAAAATAGAGTGGGTAGAGAAAGACAGAGTAGGGACTAGAGGTCATTGAAACACCACACAAATGCGGTGTGGTATTTGGCAATAGAATTGTAAAAAATCAATTCGGTCATTGCATCTGTTTCTCTGCAGGTGTGGAAGCAACAACTGAAGTGTACAATCTTATCACTTAATGCTCAGGAAAGTACACTTCAGTTCCTTCCTGTTATTGACAAAGAATATTTTGGACAAACATCCCCAGTGTCTGCATACAATAGACACATGTCTGTGTGCTTGTATTTTTTAATATAAAAATGCAAACTACACTACTTTTTAAAATGATGTTTCTCTTTAAGTATTTTTGCTTTTTTGAAGAATCCTCACAAATTATCTGAAGGAAATTTTATTTCTGAAGGAACAAAATTAAAATATTATTAAGGGCATGCAAAGCCCAAAATTGCTAGTGTTAATTATCCTGCTGATAATTTTACACTAGTACTGGGGACAATGGGAGAGGAAAAACACGAATAAGCAGTCCTAGAACAAGGAGTGATAAAGAGAAGAAAAATGAGATTAACCTGAAATAGAAGTACAGGCTCCCTTGGCTGTACGCCAGCCAATGCCACCTGACTGTGCCCGTCCACACAGCTGGTTTCCATCAATTTGACAGGCTTAAACATATTAAAGATCAACTCAGTAAAAAGCAGGCATTAATATTACCTTTATCCTTGCTTTCTTACAAAATTCAGACATCATGTATAACTTAAAGACCTTAAATTAATGACAAGTTGCAGTTATATAATGCTCTACACTTTCTAAGTAACTCTCAACATGTTTATCTTTTCTCGCTGGTTGGATTCACACCAACCGTTTAGGGTAGACATTCCCATTTTCCATAAGAAATACTAGAAATTTTCAGATTTGAATAACTGAGTAGTAAGTGAGAAAACAATTATGATACCTCAGTTTTCTTATAAGCCTAATTAACTTTGAGCTATGTCACTTCAAAAAAATATATTTTTATTGATTTCATAGAGGAAGGGAGAGGAAGAAAGAGATAGAAACATCAATGATGAGAGAAAATCATTGATCAGATGCCTCCTGTACACCCCCCGCCTCTGGGGATTGAGCCTGCAACCCAAGCATGTTCCCTGAACAGAAATCAAACCATGACCTCCTGGTTCATAGTTTGA